GAAGAAAGTACAAACAAGTGAGGAGAGGAAAGTATAAAAACTGAAAAGAAGGAGTATAAACAGTGAACTTACAATCTAAAAAATGAAAATGGGCGATGAGGTCAAGTGAGTAGAGGGGGTCTATTTATAAGTACGAAGTTTGGAAAAAATTATATTGAATGAGTGGAGAATGGGTCCCTTATATATATTTAAATGAATGAGTAGGAATGTGGGTGTGTATTTAAATGGAGAGAGATTTATTGGAAAGATGATGTGGAGATGATGTGGATGAGAGAGAGTGTTACTTTTTGATTGAATGAATGATTTGTGTGTTAAGGGATGTGGATGCCCTTAGGGGTGATGATATTTACCCAACCACCCATTCTGTAATTTGGATGATGATCATATATTTATGCTCTACCATCTGATCTCTCTTGAAAAAAAAAAAAAAATGCTACTGCTTCACTTTCTTAAGTCTGCTTGATGTTGTTGTTCTTTATAATATTTTTTCAGTTTTTATCGGTTCAAACCGAAACCGAACTGATAATAATCGGTAACCGATTACCGATAAAACAGTTCAGTTTCGGTTTGAATATTAGTGAAGCCGAACATGTTCGGTTCGGTATCGGTTTAAGTAATCGAACTGATAATTGGCTAACTGCTGAGGATCCACATTCCTAATTTTCATTTATATTACATATTATAATTAAAAAAAGGGAATATTCTTGTAGTGGTCCTAGGGGACAATGCAACTAAACGGCTGCTGATGCAACTCGTCCTCTCCCTCTGCAATTCATTTATGCAACAAAGTTTGTCGCTCAAATTCCTATTCTCTCTCTATTTATGCAACAAACACAATAGCAAACCTCACCCGTATGACGTATAACAATTCCGGATTCCCACATCCGAGGACAACATTTTACCTATGCTTAAGAGAGAGAATAACAAACTTATAAATAAATATATGAGTGTGTTTAGTAAGTATTATATGAATATATAGTAACTATTATAAGTTAGCTTATAGCTTTATTAGTTAGTTTATATTAATCTCTCTGTATACAAAATAAATTTAGTATGGTAGATCGATATTTTCTAAAAAACTTGTGCTTATTTCATAAGCATATGTAAAAAAATTCAATGACCGTTAATTAAGTGACATATTATATAATTTGAATATGCGAGTTTCAATTCCATTAATATTTCTAGATAAAACTCTAATTCCTTGGTTATCATCTTATCACGATTAGAGTTAAATGAGCCATGTCGAGTTCATTTTCTTGATACTCCAACTCTCAGGTATTCGAGCCTTTAAAAACCCAAGCTCTACTCATTCATTAACATTAATAAATCAAACTTGAACTTTATCGAACTGAACTAAACTTAAAAAATTACGCAATAACTCTTATTCTCAAACTTTAATTTAGTCGTTCGGCTCGACTTGTTTATTAAATGAGTCGAATCGATCTCACTAGCAACTAACTTTATTTAACAACTTTAATCACAATAGTTAGATGCTATAAGCTCGAGAAAGGAGAATATAGAGTACTTTTGCCCCTTTGACAAAAAATAATATAATCTTGCAACGTTATTGTGTAGTGAAATTCACCTAATTCGGTAATTCCAATATATTTACTCCATCTGTAAGAAAGATGCTATATATACTGTTTTATTAGTTAGGTAATGTACATTGGGTTTGTAATTTTAACTCCCATACTTATATACACTCTAACACGGGTTTCGAAATTTTTAATCATAATTCCAATCCAAATTATATGAAATGTATAATAGCAACTCACAAGGTTTAGATCAATTACAGGTGTGCGTATTTTTNTAAACTTATTTGTATAGATTTATTCGATCAGCGCACTTGGCTCCAACAACGACTAAGAAGATAATGCGAGCTTGGTGTTGATTGAATAGTCGGTTGGAAAGCCGTGCAATCCCTTATGCACAAAGGTCATGAAACAAAACCTACAACTCAAACTTCTTGTTATGTTCTTGGAGCTACCTTTTCAAATGGTACCAACTACCAACCATAATTGGTCCCATGATGGGCATCATTGTCATTACCACCATTAGAACATTCAACCAATGCTGCAAAAAATGGGCTGATTTTCGAATCTATTTCTTTTCTTGGGGGAGATCTCTTTTGGATGGATCGACTTCTTGGCGGCGGCTGGCGAAGGGGGAGGTGCTCGGAATATTCCTTCTTGTTGGACCCCAATTGGTGCTTCGGGATTTTTTTCCAAAAAAATGGGGTGCCTTTGAACTTGGTGACGTGTCGGACTAAATGGCGGGTAATCCTCAATGTAAGAGAGTGATGATGACGACGACAACGACAATCCGTAAGATGAATCCTGATGTTCGAACGACAATGATGAAAATGACGGCGTGTGGAAATAGCGGGAATCTCGTGTAGGGTTTGTGGTTTCAAATTCCTCATTTGCAAGGATTTGGGCGTGCGTCTGAGGCCATTGTTCTTGGTTGGGAGAAGATGAGGTGTGTGTGCTTCAAGGCTTTTGGTCGCTTTGTGTTGTTCAAATTTGTGCTTTGTGGCTACTGGCTAGTATATAAATATGGATGACTATTGTTGCTTTGCTAATTTTTCAATGTTAAAAAGCTTCTATAGGGGAATGGGGTTGAAAGTGATACTAGTAATATAATAAAATAATAAAGGGCCCCCTAACAAATTATTGAGGTCGAATAAATTAATAAAGGGTAGAAAATGGGAAATAAATAGTGGGGAAGTTGGTGTGATTCTGATATTTTCATTAATATTGTGAAATGTGCGTGAAACGTATATAATGAACAGTTGTAAACTTGTAAACCACTTCATGTGGGTGATTAGGGACTGAATGGTCCATTCAGGGGTATTTTGGGTCAATTTGTAATTTTATTGCATGCTAAGCCTCCATTGAATACCTTCCGGTGAGTGATATATCAGAATCTTACTTGCCATTTTATTTAAAAGTAATTATTCAATCTTAGTGAAAGTTACATATTAACTCAAGTGTTATTCAAATTTGTGTTGGGGAGTTTATTTAATTTGTATATAATCCGACTCTCATGCCCATGATAGTCGAGTTAAAATGCTCAGTTGATGTGGCAAGAGATTAAAATATCATACACGATGAGCAAGTATGACGTGGCTAGTGATCTCATTTTAATGTATCCGCGGTTGGTAGTTGTGCATTTTTGAATTTCTAAATTCGAAATGTGATACTATGAGGAATGAGGATGATTGGATACAAGTTTATCCAATCACTTTTTTAACTTAAAACTTAATTCCTTCCCCTCAATATTATCAATAATAATTAAATAATATCAATCAATCATCCTCACACATCACATCAACTTTATTTCACTATTAATTCACTCACATAATTTTAACTACTTATCACTTTAAATCACATATCTCTTACCTTTACATCAAATCAACTTTAATTATTTTATTTTAAATATTATTTTAATACAAATTTAAAATCACACTTAAACATAACTTAGTCATTTTTTTTTTCAAAATTAACTCTAGTTATAACCAGCAAATCCAGTCAAAAGTCAAATATTAAATTTGTATCTAAACAACACCTTTATATTCATGCAAAGTATATTGGTTTTCATATATTAGAATTTTATGCATATGCATGTAAATTATACGTGAAACAATAGTAGGTATTCAAGTATATCCTAATTTTTTTTCCTAAACAAACTAATGGGTGTTAAGTAGCAGTGGCACACACAATAGCAGAGTACATGCATTGATGCACATAAGTTTTCAATGTTTTTAGGGGGTGTAGCTGAATGTAATTACTTAGTCCACGTATCAGACTATAGACGTGTAATAAGAAAATTGCACTTATACCTAAGTAATTTGATGTGGAAAATTTCCATTAATATGGTAATCAACGTCATCACCAAAGGCCTTTTATAACTTCATATACAATAGTAGATATATATATTATCTATCTATCTATCTATTCAATTTATAAAAAGGAAGCCATAGCCTCCTCTGTTGACACGTGGTGCCTCAATTCTAAGAGGCCACGTCGACATTAACAAAACGACATCGTTTTGGTTTATGCATCTTTTGTTCTTTTCTCTCCAGTCTTGGGATGTGCAGATCAGATATTTTCTTTTTCTTCTCGCCGACCACAATTTCATTTCAACAAACCCCTACCATCAATCTTGACAGATGCGTCCCTGCATCACAAGGTGCAAAGTTGAAAATCAAGGCTCGATTGTTCAGAGAAACGATTGTTCACATCGGCCGCCGTAGGAATAAACGGCAGGATCATGGTGAACAAAAAATGCGGCCTCGACCAACATCGATTCATTGAGTTGTATAATTGCGTGCTACTAATTCAATATTTTAATTTATTATGATAATTTATTTATTTTGATCTCTATCTTTGTTGTGGTGACCGACAGATCTACTAGGCGAGCGGTTGGTCGTGGCTCAATTAGGAGGCGGTCGACTGTTCGAAGAGATGGGCTTAAATTGGACACAAATACAATGGTTAATCGCAGACAACATTTTCAGGCAAAGTTTTCTACACCTATTTTTTTCGTTTTTTTTTTCATGGGCTCACCGAAGGGATCGGCGGTGGTCCTGAACGATTTATCACGTTTTGTTATCAATACAACGGTCATTCGAGCCACCCTCCATTTTTTCATTTGATTTTGCTGAATTTTCTCACTCCATGTTTNTTTTTTTTTTTTTTTTTGTTATTTCTGATGGGCCTTAATTTCTTATAGATCTTTATCCATTTTCATAAACTTATGAAAATTGGATTAATTGATTTATTTACTGAGATTCTCTGGAATTGAGAAAAATTAGGAAAATGTGGACATAATAAGTAGAAATAATTATCTCTCTTGAACAAATAAGTATATCCATGCTCATTTCCTTGGATGTTAACGAAGAAAAATGTTGCATCTATTTTTTTTACTGTCCAATTCACAAAATCAAGGTATGATCGTATACAACCCAACAAATTGAATTGGGTTATATGTGTGCTCAGGGATGAAAAATGAAGAAGCTCCCATCAGAACTGGTTACCCACCTGGGACTCCAGATGCCCATAATTGTTACTGGAATCGATGGCCTACGCATACATTTGACTCTGTCCAGATAAATCAGTAAGGCTAAGTGACTGCTGAAAACATTGACACCATATATGTGTCTTTTGGTATCATGGTTCATATGTTATTCGGTGTTACGCTACACTGAAAAGTGATAAACAAAGGTTCTATTTTCTTGCGACGTGGTATATATGGTAAAATTTCCAATTAAAATAATTCTTCTTTATGAAAGGCTTACGAGACTGAATTTTAGCAGTGTTTTGTACCTAATTTGTAAAATTCCTCTCAAGTTCTTTAACTGCATTCAAAAGGAAAAGCTGATAGCCTTAGTGAGATTAAGTCTGACAAGCTTTTTTTCTGTTTTGAAGGTATATATACTTTGTATAGGAATAATTACACTATTTGTTATTGGGTTGCTCACAATAATAGTTAGATATCTTTGTAACCACCACAACTTATTTATTTAAAAAGTTCAGTGTAGTTGATTGTACTTGTGTAATATACACTGAATCCTATATTGAAATCTATTTATCAAGTTAATTGTCATTTTACACTACCACCTTAAGTGCTCAAATATTATCATTCTATTGAAAGTAGATGTGGGTGTTTTTGATTCATCCTTTTTTTTTTCCCAGTGACATTGTCTGTGTGAGTACACTTGTTATTTTCTTTTGTTAATTTCTGATGGGCCCTAATTTTAGTGAATTGAATAATTTAACTAATTGACATTCATGAATTGTAGTGCAAAGTGGCATTTGCCTGCAAGCTCATCTCGCCAAAACAGCCAGAATGCTTACACATGCTTCGTTTGTTGTATCTATCAAGCCACATAAAGCCTTCTGGTAAAGATTTAAAGATTTCATTGGCCTCTATTGATATGTTTGTGAATATCCTATTGGGAAATAAATTGAATATAAATATGAATGATGATGTGTTAATATGATATAAAGGATCTACAACCTTTGTTTAACAAGAAGAGATGCATAAGTTAGATTGGCGAGGAGCTTATGGACTTCATCCTACAGCCTTCAACTTAAAATACCGTTGTGACAGCTAAGGTTTGTATTCTCGATGCATAGTTGCTTGCTTTCGATTGACATATTTGCTTGGAATTTTTCATGCTATTTTAGTTCGAACTTTTTGTGATCATTTTTATAAGCCCTGTTATTGTTGTTTGTCTATAAGATGCATGGAGTATTAGATCCTTTATAATGATTCAACATAAAATTAAAAAAAAAAAAATTAATAAAAGACAACATGAGAATATAAATTGGAAGGTTAATTGTAGGATGTCGATATGACCCTTGATGTTCGATCTAATTTTAATTGAAAAAAACAATTATCTTCAAAAATATAAGTAACACTCTTCACATTGGTTTTAAATATACAAATTGTACGTGTATTTTTTTCAATTTTCCTATAGTAATTTTATAGAAGACCTACTTTATTTTAGAACAAGAAACTCTGATATGCTTGAAAGCTAAAAAATACTTTTAGGTTTCACAAAGTGTTGACTTTTATATATTAGTTGTAATGCTTCTCTACAAACCCAAAATTGGCGTTGGAATCTTTTTGCCCACGAAAGAGTAAAGTACAGGAAAATAAAAGCCAACAAAACTTTATATGCTCATAAAAAAAAATAGTAACTAACCCAAATTCATAGTATTGTGTAAGTAGAGATTTTATAAGGCAACAATACTTTAAGTCTTTAATGTAAGTAGAGACTTATACAGTGTGCAATGTTGATAAATTAAAATATAAAGGTATCTCTGAGTAACGCGAATAATCATCTTGCAAGTTGGAACTCTTGATAATATTCACCCATTTTTGTATCATTATTCCCCTAGCCCTTCCACTGGACTTGACTGTCTGCTCCTTCAGAATTTCACAACTGACCAAACAAAATAGAAGGCAATTTTTTTTTTAAAAAAAATAAAGGATTGATAACCTCAGCCAAAATTTGTTATGTTTGATGTATATGTTTAGTGTTCTTTTATTTTGCAAGGGTGTTTTGTCTTCTTGTATAATCTATTATGGGGGATTGTAGTACATTATGGGGGATGAAAATGTTGATTATTTTAAATTTATGTACATTAACGATTTTTTTTTTTTGAAAAAAAATATGGATAATATATTTTCTTGCATGCATGGCAGGTATAATATGGAGGTGCCTGGAAATGCACTTTACATAGTGCAACTCGATGTGAATACTCCCAATGCATTGGAGGATATATATAGCTGCATATATACATGGCTCCACTTTAAAGGTAGAGGTGATGAAAAGAGAAATCCATGTCGAGAGCATGAGCAAATGACGTTGCTTCAGATTCATTAATGACATTTGCATTTTGATAGCTGGTATAGGATAACATGCTTCTAATAATAATTTATAGAATATAGATATATATAGCCTTGATACATATCTACTGTATCTTTAGATTGCATCAATTAGCTCAATTTGGTAGAAACTTGATCTGAATGTCATGTGAGGTTATTTTGTTTTATCAGTTTTAATGGTCTTCTTTTAACTTCACTTATTCCATTCAATTTGTTTAGTCGAACAGGTTCATGACATTGCATATTAAAGTTATACTAATACAATTAATATGGGCCGGTCGTGCACGGCGATAGCCTTCTAGTATATGAAGATATAAAAGGATATAAAAGGCGTGAAACTCAATTGCTATTCACCGCCCCCTTTTACTAGTCACCGCCCCCCTCCCATTTACTCTTTTGCCCTTAACCCTTTTTTGGATTTCATCTCTCTAAACTTTATCTCTCTAAATTTTTCGAACTTCAACGAACGATTCGAGCATCAAAAAAAATCCGAAAAAATGTCGAAAAAATTCTACGGCCTCGGCAAAGGATTCTTCTCCAACAAGGTAATTTTTTTTTTTTTTTTT